CCCAACATTCTCTGGCTCACTATGGATTGAGAGGACCGCCAGAATGTTTGATGAATAGCACAAGGAGAGTTATGTATATCTTTGGATATTGTATAACATATGGCCTCATGTTTATTAGATTTAACACTCTTCTCTATGGGGATCGGTCACTAAGGCTTTTTGTAATTATCAATTAGGAGTCATACTTTTGGATTGGAGCCCGTTTCTTTAGGAGTTTCCTTTTGCTGGGCTGTTTTTTTGTATGCCCTCTTATTGTAGTCTTTATTCATTTATCTCAGTGAAAGTGCTGTTTCTTATAAAAAAAAAACATATGGCCTCATGTTGGAATGCTTTACATTTTTACATTGGGTCTATTGTAATTAGTATACCTATCTCATTGATGTATGGCGCACCTTCTTAGAAGTTTAGGGAGATGTCTTGTTCCAATTCTCTCTCTTTTTTTTCTAACTACTCTTTGTCTTAATGTATTTTTTTCCCCTTGTTTTTAATCTTATAAATTATATGACAGGATATTGTCACCGAAAGTGACCAGTTCAGGTATGCCAGTTATTTCTCAATCTGCTTCTTTAAATATTTTATTGAAGGTTAAATTTGAACTGCATTGCTTTGAAATTGTACTGCAAAATGTATTAGTTTATATTTTTTCGGCGATCTTCTTTCTTCAGCATTGAAGAGTTTATTCCATTGCTGAGGGAGCGTATGAATGTCCTAAATCCCTACGTCCGTCAGTTTTTGGTTGGATGGATCACTGTACTTGATAGCGTGCCAGATATTGATATGCTGGGCTTTCTTCCAGATTTTCTTGATGGTGAAGATTCCTGTTAAATGACCTTTACATGTTATTTGCTGAATGTTTATGATACTTAAAAATCCTGATAATCTCAGGTTTGTTTAATATGTTGAGTGATTCAAGTCACGAAATTCGACAACAAGCTGATTCTGCTCTGTCGGAGTTTCTCCAAGAGATCAAGAATTCTCCAGTAAGATTGCTTAGCTAACATTGAGTGCCTATAAATTGACTTCTAGCCTCAAATTGGTGCACACTTCTAAAATTAATTTGTAATCGCAGCCTTATTTTATTTTATTTTTTAAAAATTAATGCTAATTGGAGTTCATTTTATAAGCTCTTTGACAATGGTTTGTATTTTTCTTTTTTTAAATGAAGAGTTTTGGGTTCTTATTCAAAAAGAAAATTAATTTCATGTTTTTACTATTGATTATCACAAATGGTTTGGTCAACAAGAAAAATCAGAAAAATAGGAAAAAGGGGAAATTAAAATGAGAGAACAGATTCCTTGTCCCTTGGTCCTTAGGTTGTTCCCTGCCTTGTCAGTTTTTTTTGAATGAAAGTATTGCCTCGTTTCTTATCAAAACGAAAAAAAAAACATTAGTAATTACATGCAACCATAAAAATGCAAAATGGATTTATCAATCACCATCTACTTTTTCTACCACTTTTTCTTGCATGTGCTAAATTTATTTGTTCATTTAATAATTTTCTGACTCGAGCAGTGCTACTCTTGAAGTCTGTAGATTATGGCCGAATGGCTGAGATTCTGGTTCAGAGGGCTTCTTCCCCAGATGAATTTACTCGCTTAACGGCTATTACATGGGTACTTTGGACTTGAGCATCAATCATTTTTTATTATAATTTCAATAAAACTTGACTCAGTCTCACTTTATTATGAGGACCTATAAGAGATTTTACAGTATTGTGCATTATCTTTATAAACTTATTGTTTTATTGTATTTGCAGATTAACGAGTTTGTAAAACTAGGTGGAGATCAACTAGTACCTTATTATGCTGATATTTTAGGAGCAATTCTACCTTCCATATCTGATAAAGAAGAGAAGATTAGAGTGGTAAGATTTATGTTCCCCCTTTTTATTGTCACTTGTGCCATGAACACATGAATTGCACGTCATTTGATCCTATACTTTATGTTTTTATTTTATTTCTCTTTCAATCATCAATTACATTTTTCATATTATGAGTGTTTTTTATTTTCTTTAATATAAAGTTGTAGTTATGAAATATCTTAGCTATGTTATATTGTTATTTACAACTTATGAATTTCTATAAAATTTTTCTGCACACATGATTGGTTGACTTTCTCAGATGGGGTAATAAGGTGAGGATAATATTAAAACTTTGTCTTGCGCAACAAATTTCTAAATAAAAAGAAAATGAGTATGAATGTAAAAGTCATATGGAGTACAAATTTTGTGCTTAATATTAATAAGAAGAAATGTATTTAGTATAGAAGTAGAAATATATGAGAAAGTTGAGCCATTGACTTCATCTTCATGGTGTGATTTTATTTAAATTTGTTATAAATATACTTTTTCAATTAATTTTTTTTGAGATAATAAGTTAAATATAATTGTAAATATATAGAGAGTTGTGCGGTGGGCATAGAGCGAACTATTCTTTCGCCTTTCACTAAAGATAGTAAATATTTACAAGTAAATGTATAATTGTTACTAAGAATATAATTTTCATTTTAAAATTTGAATTTGTTTATAGAATTGTAAATATGGTGTAGGCAAGTTTGAGAGAAAACGAGGATTGTATTCAAGTGTAGGAAAAGTTACAAATGACCAGCTATTTATAGGAAATATCCTAGGATATGGGAAGAACTAACAACTTAACTATCTAACTAACTAACTAACTCAAAGTTAACTAAAGTAGTTACTCATAGTTACATCAATTTTTCCTCCCTCTAAAAAAAAACTCAACCTCGAGTTAAGAAGCCAATGTAAAAGAATCTGGTGCTGCGTATGGATATATGTCTGCCACATTGAAGATTGGGCTAATATTGAAGTCTGGAGGTAGCTGGATTTTGTAAGCATTTGGGCCGTACTTTTGTAATACCTCAAAAGGTCCCCATTTTTTCTTCTGTAACTTGTGTG